AGAAAATTGGGCAGACTCAACTTATCTCGACTGGACTGGAGTAGACTAGACTAGACCAATCGTACAACACATTGTGCGATAATTTATTCACAACGCGCTGTTTATATCGCCCCATCGACAGGTTAGTTTGAAGTATTGATCTGCTCGCAATGCACTAAAATGCGAGGTCACTTTTCACTACATCACCTCAGCGAGATAGTGTGACTAAGGCGTGTGGATTGGCGTGTTATGGAGCAGAAGAAGCTACGTTGGAGTCCTCCACTTTTTAAATTTCTTGTCGTGAGCTTCGTAAATGTCACCAACGATGCTAAAAGTACAAGCAACACCAAGGACATTATGAGCAGCGGTTGGCATGGACGAATTTCCACTCTCTATTCAGTGAGGTATCTGCATAGGCTTTTCCTGATTTGGTTGAAATGTCTTTCATTTATTCCCTTTTCCATTATTCTGCTTTTAAAATAGCCTATGTGCCCATTGACTACCAATCTGATTGTTTTGCTGTCCATAACCCTGACTTACTAGGTATGTGGTGAGGGTGAGGTAAAAGCAAGTCTGTGGGTCGCATTGGCAGCACTGCCACCTTACAGTTTCAGGTTGATGTTAGGCACAGGCACCACTCATCATTGTGTGCTGTCATCCTGGTCATATTATAATGTAGGTGTGGCTTTTGAGTCATCAATTAGCCCTCATGTCAGAACGGTACATTTCACTTGTACTGACTGTTGCAGAGCAGAAAATTTCACTGATTACCCTTTTTATTCCTTCTTTTATAAATTTATTTATTTCTGACTTCCTTTCTTTATCCAAACACAAACATTTGGGTTAAAGGTTGAGCCAAGTATTAGAGCAAGCAGCATGGCTGACGGTAATGGAGCGCAACGACGAAAAGTGTGAGGGAAATATCCAAGTATTTTACTCCCTACCTCCTCACGTCAATCCGATTATGGAAGCAAAGTGGTTGTAAACTGGACAGAACATAAGAATGCGTTCTTGCTGTGGCTCCGCGCAGCTTCATTTATTTACAGCTGAGTCAGCTGCATGGCGGTTGGCCTTGAAGCATCAGCAGAAATGGTAACACGAATGGTAGAAGTAGAAAATCACAATGCCATCCCCTTACCTCCTGCTCATCTACGGGGACATCAATGGCAGGCAGTTTGATGTGGCCGATTGGAAAGCAGATGGCTGTAAAATGTGCATTGGGAACGCCATCATCAAAATCACAAGCCGCGCTACAAGATATCTCTTCTTATTGTACGAAAATGCGATATCAATTTTATTCCCCTACTTTTCATAGATTTCAACGGTTCACTGCCATACGACTCTGCTTTGCGAGATCGTTCTCTTTCCAACTCGTAAAAGAATAAAAGAACTAAATAAATTGAAGTGAGAGTCGAGTGTAGGGAACTAAAGCAGCTCACTTTAATCCCACGCAGATTTCCAAATTTTAGTCTCCAAAGTATTGCAAGTTATCATTAACGTCAGTCAAATAACACTTCATTAACTCCGTCACACTTTCCGGACCAATTGTTTAGATATCTGATGGAAAATGAAGAAGACATGTCAAACTTACAAAAGCCAACTTGCCAGTTCCCACAAATCAATCTCTTATCATAGTAGTGGCTGGCGTCTAGGTGGTGTGACATTCCTGGCGGTTTGAGTCATAAACTAATTTTCTTGCAAACCAAGGAATTTCGACTAGCAGATTAACGAATTTGTGCTAATAAAAGATGTTTTTTAAAGTTATTTGAGATTTTAAGGAATTGTTTTAGACAATATTTTTTCTTAAGGCACTCCCTTTAAAAGTGCATTTTTTGGTGTTAAATAGAGTGCTGTTATTTTGGCAAAAATAAATTAAAAAACTTAATTTTTTGTACCAAATCGAATAATGAAGTGGCGTATTTGGTTTAAAAATGGCTTGCTGTGTTGTCATCTTATGCATATATTCATAAAATGCAAAAGAAGTCAGCGATCACTACCCCGTCGAATTTGACATCAATTGAATTGCTGCGACGCCTGTGATACTACGTATTATTTCTTCACACCCACACTGATTTCCATGCTTTGTTTTGACGAATGAAATACCGACTAGTCATCAAAATCTATCTACAACATTTTGTCCGTTTTCTTTAAATTATTTACTTTTCGCCACGGTTATATTGTCTTTTTGGTCTTCTGAACGGGATTCCTTTTCTTGAAATGGGTGAAAAATAACCAAAGCCAAGTGAGCCGCGTGGAGCTCTTCGGGTCCTCGGAGTCTTCTATAAGGTACATTTATGTTAGAGAAGATGAATTACTGGCGTATGG